ACAGCCCTTTAATCGGAGCCTATGTAAGAGTAAAAATGGTTGTATATAAAAAACAGAGTTCAATAGGAAAATTACACATAAATAAAAGCAAAATATCAAGTTTGTTTTCTTTACAGCATGAAAAAATAACAGCTAAGTACTAAAAGGTCACCCCTGTTGTAGAGATTAAGTGCTTAAGGAAGGTTTTTATGAAAATAATTATCCTTCTTATTTTGTAAGGAGTTAGCAAAAATATAATTACTTGAAAGCAAGTAGGACATTCAATTGCCAGTGTGTATAGGACCTTTACACCACCAAGAAACAAAGAATAAGAAAAGAAAGTGGAAAGACACCCAAACAAAAGAAAACACCAGAACAGCTATTAGGTGCAGAACAAATTTTAGAAAAAACAAGCTGTAAGACACATGCTGACTTAACCTTGGTTCCATCGGACTTGCAAATGACAGCTTGCTTATTCTGGGTTTGCTTTTTTCAGTTTTCAGTTTCACTTAATAAATAAAAACACTTCATAGAAATATAGTCTTAGTTAGTAATTAAGTGTATGTTATTGGCTTTTTATTTAAATTGTAAAGATGTGAATGATCAGGAGATAATTTGATTAGCAAAATAGTTGCTAGTTGCTGCTCTTAGTGAGTTCATAAATATATTTCATTTTAAAGGAACTGACCTGAGAACTTCAATCGGCGAATATGCTTGAGCAGGTGGGTTCCGTTGATGGGATCCATTTTAGCGCAGAGACCCACCTTCCCAGGGCAGAGTTCTTTGTGCATGTTGTGTAAAGCATGAGCCATTGAATACACCGCATCAATAACAAACTGCACCTTTCCTTCTTGCTCGTAATGCGAGTCCTTTCCTATTCGCTCCTGATCTGAAAGACAAAATTACATTTACAAATTAAAGTCATTTATAATCTAATATTTGTTTCATTTATGTTGTATTATTATTGGATTAGGTTGGATCAACTTAATGACATATATATCTTTATGTGTTTTTTAAAGGACTTTTTTATGACAACAAATAAGAAGAAATAGAGGTCACAGTCCTGAAATATCTGTGTTATTGTTTGGGCCATTCTAGAAGCCTATATCCCATTACACATATGGGAAATGTATTTTAGTCATACAGGAAGATACAATGACATTAAAGTTGCATGCAAAGCATTTAACACAGCATCATAAACAATGTAAGCAGATGAGCCTCCCACAGATTTTTGAAACTTGTCAAAACGTTCTACAAAATGAATGACACACAAGCATGAGCTGCCAGGCCATAACACAAATTTTAGGTGGTAATTACAGAGATTACCCAATGATAGCCTCACCGTACCTAAATGCTTGCAACTTTATGACAACCTTCTTTCAGCACTGAGTTATCCCTTTCTTCAATATGAATGATGCTTAAAAGTTAACAATTACGGACTGACAACTTTCTCTATTTTCTAATTAATTTGGCTCACACTCACAGAGCACTCAAATTGAATTTCCATGGAGCTGTCTGTTTTTCTTTAAATATAGAAATAAATAAACAAAGATATGATAATGACATCGTATGATGACATTACGACAAGAAAAGTATTCTACAATGTTAATTCAATACCCTTTATCCTATAAATGCAGCCCCTCCATTTCGGTATGCAGCGTAAACTTAATCTATCTGTATGATATATAAAGGCAGCCAGATTGAGGACTTTGGAACTTGGGTGATGTGCTCAATTTTCTTATTTTTAGTAAACCTGCTTGCAGTAGATTCCTGCTCAGCTGAAGCTGTTTGATTGACTCTACAGTTAAAATGACATTAATTATTGATTTATGTTTGGAATCAAGTTTGTGTGGGTTGTGTTTTTGTGTGTTTTCCCTTCACCACCAGGGGGCGCCTGGTTCTCGTTGGCCTTCTCACACACCTGCGGATGGTTGCCTCATTACC